ATTCATTTAAAAATTATCCATTTATGTAATAAAATAAACTTTTTTTATTGGTGACAAAAGAAATGTTAAACATAAATATTTCTGTTTGTAAAAAAGAATCAGTTATGCAATGAGCAGCAGATTCTAACAGTTAGTATGGATGTCACACTCAGGTTGAAATTTAGATCAATGGACTTTGCAAATTCAAGAGTAGTTTAGGGAATGGGAAAATATATATATACATCCACACTATTAAAGGCTAATTGTGTCTGAAAGCACATTAGGATAAATACCGGCGTTACAGTATATTTGATGCTTGACTACTCTTACAATAGTTAAATGTAAACCACAATCAAGGCTAGGCCTGAAGAAGGGGGCATTTTTGGACTCCTGAAACACAAAGGATACTCTTTGGATTGTCCCCCTGACTTATCAGAATAAAGTTGAAACTGGACCTCTTCAATTCCCAATTTTTGGAACATTACAAGCCAAGGAAACCATGGACACCTTCTGGGGTCTAGCAACCACCTGCCTGGGAACCATATATTTACATCAATAAGATAACCATACGGGTCCAGTGCTATTTTTCCCCTCTTTCCTCAGGTCTTCAGGCAGTGGGCATATTGTGGTGACACCCCCTCTAGGCCTGATACTCACAGTATGTCCTAAGTCTTCTGAGGTAAAGGACACTTGAGATAACGCAACCTGTAAAAGGACCATCTAGTAAAAGAATGAAAGTACTGCAAAGAACAGCACTGGAGAGGAGGCAAGTGTTGCAACCAAGTGTTTTTTTTTAACCCTGCTTGGGGAAAGAATTTATCAAGAGTTGTATTGTTGTCTGTATTGTGGAGACACTTGCTTACTTTCTGTGTAAACAATGGTGGTCACAGAAAGAAAAATGACAAATTCTCCAATAAGGTCAGAGACTGCAATAAAGATAAAAAAAATTGACAATGGCTCTAATCTTTCCCCACTGTACTATATATACAATTTTTATTGGTGCCTACTGGGGAGGCACTTCCTCACCAGGAAGAAAAAAAAAAAATTAGAGGACCTCTCCTTAACAGGTACAAAGAACCACTTTTAAGGTTTTATTTATTGCTAACATTTCTCTGCAGTGGCAAAAAAATTTACAATAAAATAGAACGCTTGAAACAAAAGTAACAACTCCGATCATCACAAGATAGTCACATTATTCATGTGACACTGTCCATATTTTATTAGTGATATTGTACCACACAGTGATACCCAACAATCTATTGAGAAACTGGATTCATTTAGTAACACAAGCATCCTAAGATGGCCTAGCCAAAGAACAAGTGTAAAATGTCATTAATCAAACAGAAACACATACAATATACAGACAGTAGTCAAGTATTAGAAAGGTTGGCATACCTCAGATTCAGCAACTTATTGGAAATTTCTTATACAACTCAAGATATCTACACCGTATTACACATAGACAAGTATTCATTGCATACACAGTGTATGCTGACTGTCCATTAACAAAGAACTCCAAGTTGGGAAAGCCATGTTGCTGGCTGCACTGTAAATAATAAATGAGCTTAATGGTTGATAATCTCACATGATAAATTTTGGTCCAGCCTAAAATATAGTTGCTCCACGGTGTGTACATTTACCATTTATTTTTTAAAAAGACAACTTATGTGTAGTTATATAGCTAAGATGTTTTGTATCAACTTGTATCCTACGTTATAGCACAACTCATGTTTAAAGAACTGGTAAATTGGTAGATCTGAAACAAAAAAGCTACATCAAGAGAGCCACAAATGACATTCACAACTCTGTATGTAGAAGGTACTATATCTGCATTGAAAATGGAATGTATGCCATCTAGGTAACTTTGTGGTTATGTATAAGAGCAAGGACAAAGGCATTTTGTACTTCAATTTTGATCCTTTTTTCATTGCCCGTTTTTCCACGTTTCTTTGATGTTACGCAAACCTATCAGTAACTTAAAAGTCTAAACTCCTAACATTTCACAATATACAAAAGCAGTAGTATTTTCCCCCAAAAATATGTATAAATATTTATATACTACTTCTTAGTAGTAGCAAAAAGGAATCCCTGAACTTCAGTCAAGGACTGTGCCTAAGCAAGACAGATGCTTGGAGAATGGTCATCTAAGTCTGCTGCAATCAGCAACTTCAGTCCCCGCCACCCCCTAAACAAGTTAAATGTTCAGTCACAGGGACTGTTATTTGTAACTTTCTGCTAAGTCAAAGGTTTAAAGATAGCAGGGTGGGTTGATCTGAGTGAGACAGAGATGGATTTTTGCACTTGCCATGGGTTGAGAGGCAAAAGAAAGACTGAGCCGTGTAGTTGTGATAGCTATTAACACTATCAGATCATAAGAAAGACAGCAGAGGGCTGACCCATGTAAGACTATGACCGATTTCTACACTAGCAGGTCATATGGTTAGAGGCATGACAAGGTGTACTTTATTTTTACATTGCCTGGTCATAGAGTGAGGAAGCAACAAGGGGGGTGAACTGTGCAAGACAACATGCATAAACAAAATCAACATTAATGGCTCATGTAGACAGGCAATGTATAAAACATGGCGAACTTTAAATGCATGCTTTAGAATACAAAGCACAGAAATAGGAAGTATTTGCCTTGCTCTGCCTGTAACACAAAAACATCTCAATTTGGCTAAAAGAACAAGCCTCAGATCTGTCATCCACAATTCAAACTCAGGTCAGCAGATTTTTATTTTCTAGAAGGGCGATTTAAACTCGCAGAAAATACTAAAAAAAAAAACAAAAACGCATGTGTCTGCACAAGCTCAAAGACTGCTGCATGATTATTTATCCATGGGCCAGTAATTAAGGCCCCAGAGGAGATGGTGGTTCTGGCTGATGCCTTAACAAAAATGACATCATACATCTAGAGAGAAAAATGAAGATGTGGCATTGTCAAGAAGAGTACTGTACTGTACTAGGTTTACACATTACATACAAGTACTTAACAAAACAAATACACTTGAATGTAAGTCTGCTTTAAAACTATATCCTGCTGGTTTCCATATTTTTAACAAGTCTGTAGGAAGCAGACACATTGAGGCCCTTCTAATTCCCATTTCCAACCCATCTTTTGCAGCTAATGTCCATTAAGTAACAAAGAAACAAAACTCATGATCCTGCAATTGTTTTTTTTTCTGACGACATTTTAGACATGTGTTAAAACGGAATCATCAATTAAAACAGACATCCTGCTCTTCTTTATAGGTAAATGAACACAAACTTTGCAGAGACCCTCAGCTGCGAATTTTAATTGACAGACAATTGGAAATATTCTATGGCATTTTATAATATTCCTGAGAAGTTTGAAAACTTTTATGTATGCATCTGTCAAAGTGGTTTTGTTTTTAAAATTAAAATGTATATATTTTTTACACTCTGTATTGTTTAGTCATAATTTGATATTTGAACATTTTGAAGGACCAATTTTATTACATTTTACTTTTTAGTTTGTATTTAGACTTTATTTAAAGAGCAGTGAGGCAGTAACTCACAGGGACTGATTTACTAAAACTGGAGAGTGCAAAATTTGATGCAGCTGTGCATAGTAGTCAATCAGCTTTCAAGTTTTTTGTTTTTTTTTTTTGGGGTCAAAGCTTAATTGAACCAGCTGAAGTTAGAAGCCAATTGTCTATCATGCAGAGCTGCACCCAATTTTACACTCTCCAGTATTAGTACATCAACCCCATAGCAATTTAAGTTCCAGCTTTCATTAGTAAACATTAAAAAAAAAAAAAAAAAAAAAAAAAAAAGGTAATCGCAGATAGGCTGATGTGGGCTATAGTCTGCAGTATCAAAGGGCATCTCCAGGGAATAGAATACCTATTAGTTAATATGTGTATTCTATGTTCTATGATTATTCTTTAACTCAGCTGGAGTGATTATGTAAAATCTCTCCTTACATTAAGCTGCAAAAATGTAACTGTAAATTAAAATTAGTTCTACAGTAGGAGTTGTGCTTACATTGGCTTTCAACAAGAGCATTACCAGCCGTCACTTGTCCACACAGCAGGCAGGACAGTGGCTCCTTATGTTAAGCAGTCAGGTAGCACAGTGTATACTCATTACTTTACAAATCATTTGGCAGGTATAATAGTCTCTACATATATGTTGCAACAGTGTATCTAGCGGTTTGGCTGTGTTGCCCTTTCAAAATACACCACTGAAGCAAATTATACCTTTGAAATAATACAGTTGACCTTTTTCTTTAATAAAAAAAAAAAAAATGGACAGTTTCCCACTTTATTCATAATTTTTTGCATCACTATATACGCTTCAAAATGCCTAGTTTACACTTCTGTTAAATCAGTAGAGAAACGCCTGACCAAAAAAACCCTAGTATCACAATTAAACAGATTGTTAAGAAGCTACTAAGGAAGAACCGATTAGATCTTGGCTTGGATTCCCTTTACTATGGTCTGGTCCAAGCTTACAAACCTTTTTCATCTCCATGTGCGGTTGGTGCTTGACAGAAGAGGCCTGGTGTGGCCCTAAGTATACAAGAAAACCTGTTCCTAAGATGATTTGGTCCAAGTTATGAGAATGGCTGTTCCTAAAACAAATGGCCCATGAGATATCAGCAACGTTGGTCCTAAAAAGAAGTAAATATTTCACACCAGTCCTTCCAGAAAAACATTTGTTAAGCTGAATGTGACACTGATGGTTATTAAGCTAGTGGCATTTCTCAGACGTTCTGGTACACCATGTTCTCATTTAGAGGACTCAGATAATTTCAAAGGCATCCTTGCCAACACGTGAAGACCTATGAAGATTCTTGCACCGTTCTGATGTGCTAAAAAGGCTCTAGGGCAGGTCGGGGCAGATTTAGGCTCAGTCTTAGAACTCCTACTAGCAAACAGAATATTGGATCCCGGATGGATTCTCCTACAGGAAGTTGGGCGCAATCCCTTGTATAACTGCTATGGGAAAGGGGATTGTTTTCAATGCTCCTTGGTTGGTTCCCTCCTACAATAGGATCAAGGGCCTCCACTATATGAATAATCTGCCTTGTTGTGCATCACTAGCTTGTTGTCCACAAAGTAGAAACTGTCTGATTGTGTCTCATAGGGATGGATGATCATTTCCCGAACTGCAGGACAAGAAAAGAAGAATTAAGGCAGAGAAACCTAAAATAATAACACATGATTCTGTCTAATGCTTTAAAATGTAGTAATTAAATGTGTGAGTTCTAATCGGAGCAGAAAGCCAGCATTGGTGCTACGATGTAGCATGGTTTCATTTTCACCAAGTGCCTTTTGCAGGAAAATTTGCCATATAAGAAAACCCCAATGCAAGTTCAGAAAAGCCTCCTTTCCTATAAATAACCTGCACTGGCTTGTTTAGAGGTGCCAAATCTAAACAGACATCACTATGGATTGGTCCATCCTCATACCACTACTCTTCTTCCTTAAAAATGAGTCATTTTACAAAGCATTTTTTGCAACCAAGTTGTTTCATATTTGAACTAGATTATGATTAAACGCAATTACATCACCTGGCTGCATCTACTGCTCTGCAATCCTTCACCACTTTACACCACCAACACAAGTTGCCCAGTTGTGAAATATTTTATTTCCAAATCAAACATTTCTTCGATTTCCTGTGGATCTCAGACGACCGTGTTTGAAAAAAATGTGCGATCTTCAGTCCCCAAGGCAAATAACCAAAATCATAGTGATGTCTAGCTGGTTATTTACTATAACTGTAGAATGCATAATTTGATGCAGCTCTGCATAGAAATCAATTAGCTTCCAGGTTTTATTACCAAAGCTTACTTGCACAAGCTGAAGTTAGAATCTGGTGCAGCTGTGTATGGTAGCCAATCAGCTTCTGAGTGCTCCAGTTTTAGTAAATCTACCCCCTAGCATCTTAACCTACTACAGGTACACCTTCTTACGCAAAACATTGGGAGGCTGACCTTGGGGACACTCTAGGGGAGGAGGATTGCACAGATATTTGGTCATGGACTAAACCAGCTTTGCAAAATATATTCACGCAGGAGGCAAATTATAAGGTGTTGACCCAATGATACCCAGTTCCAGCACACATAGCTAAATATGTACCAAACTACTCCCCATTATGCTTTTTTGGCTGTGCATACCTGGGGACTCACCTAGATATCTGGTAGACATGTCCCATAGTCCAAAAATATTGGACTGAAATGTTTGTGATCTTGTCCATCTCTGTAAAAAGGTGACAGGAAGTGTGCTCTAAACTCTAAAAATTCAGCAATGCTATCTTCCATAATTGCACCCTGACAGCTTCCCTTTAATACGAAGACTGCTTTAAAGAGAACCTGGCATGTTATTTATCTACGGTCCATATCTCTGCTTCATTGTTTGGGGAGTTAAGAGTCGCTAAAGGCAAAACTCTACACTATCCAAAGCAAAAAACAAAACAAAACAAAAAAACAAAACAAAACAAAACAAAAAAAACACATTTTGTCTTTACTGACACTTTAAAGGTGTATCAGAAGCCAACTCTGTTTTTACAAAGTTTTGGACAAAATATCTAAATGTCTAATAGGGAATTCCCTTTTACTTCCTGTTGAGTCTACAGAACAGGAAGCAAAAGAAATTCTACTCAAAAGAGGATGTTAACCCTTCCCTACTCAAAAAAAAAAAAAAAAAAGCTTTGGCTTTAAATACAATTATTACACAGGTGTTACAAATCTTCCCCCATAATTTGCCAAATATATATATTTTTCCTAGCATTGTCAACATCTAGTGGCCACAACAAAGTATATTTCATAGATCCCTCAAATCAGGAAAATGCTGCATTCTTGCCACTAGATAGCAGTGACCACCCGACTAAATAAACATTAGGCAAATTATCGGGAAGATTTGTGACAGCTGTGCAAATGATTATTATTTATAACTAGATCCACAGTATTATAAATAAGCATGCATGTACCATTTTTAATTTGCAACTTCAGGATATGGATATATATATATATATATATATATATATATATATATATATATATATATATATATATATATATATATATATAGACATATCTATAGATCTATATCTATATAAAAAGTTTCCATTTTTCTGCTTTGGAGAAGTCTCTATTATAATGACTTGGATGAAGATCCAATCACATTTAGGGTGTTATTTACACAGAAATTTCCAAGATTTCCAAAGTCTCTCTCACAACAGTATAAGGGCTTTAAGTCCTTCTGTGGTAATGACTATAAACAATCAGGGAAACACATTCATCAATCTTTATCACGAAGGAGGAAAAAACACTTACTAAGATCCTCTGAAAGCTGTGGGAATTCATAAATATGTTCACATGTGTTTTTACTGCTGGGGATACAGAAGCCGAACTCAAAGTCGAAGCTCTTCAAAAGCTGGTCACGAAAGTAATGTCTCTCAATCATTCGGAAGTTATTAATGGGCTTGTCACCAACTGTAAATTCAACCCTGGAAAATTGTAATAGCATTTTTTATTAGAAACCTCTTGCTACATTATATCACATGCAATCACATTTGACTCTATAGTTTATATCTTCTTGAATCTAAAGATCTTAGGCAAGCTATAGAATGGGGACAGATATGTAGCCATCATAAGACGTTCAAATGACATTTAAGAATTTTGACATTCGTATATGCAAATATCACCCAAGCATGTATACTAATAACTGTGTAGCATAACAGGACATCAAAGTTACCTTATTTCAAGGGAAACAGCAATCGAAAGAACACAACCCTTAAAAAAAAAAAAAAAAAAAAAAAAAAAACACCACTTTTCCTGGAGCCAATGGCTAGGAATGTCTGCTGATGAATCCTGGTGGGTTATGATCCTAAAGGGGCCTCAAAACTTGTAGTTTATCATTTTGAAGCATGAGAAGGTAGCCAAAATATATGTCTATGTATTTTTACTGCCCAACACCAGGAAGATATAAAAGACGCAAAAAGCGAGATTTACCTAAACTGGTGCACTCGTGCATGGTAGCCAATCAGCTTGTTAAATTAAGCTTTGACATTAAAATCTGGAAGCCAATTGGTTTCTGTGCAGAGCTTCAACAGATTATGCATGTTTCAGTTATAGTAAATCCCCACCAAATTACAGCAGCTCTGTTTTCAGTATTACATCATTTTATGGGGTTTTTTTTAGTTTTTGTTTTTTAATGCAAGCATTGTAAGCACCTTACTGTGACTTATTGGAAACCTCCTGCAATCCCCTGTACAGCAGAGCTCAGACTAGGATAAGGAGAAGCAGTGCAAGGAGTCTGTCACTATGCTCTCAGCATGACTGACTGAGTTATGGGCTCATCAGTCTGCTGTTTCTCCTTACACTGTCCAGGTACAGGCTGGAGGAGCAGCAAGAACTGTCAGTGTCTGGCAGGTAAAATAGCTTCCATATACACTATATTATAAAAAACTAAAAATACGAGCGCTAGGTAACAAGCCACTTGCATTAAGGTGAAACCTCTGACCCTCTAAATAAACATGTAATACAGAAATGCAGAGCTAAAGTCCCCTTTGAAAACGAGCACGTTAAGAGCCCAGCTGCTGATGTCACGCCGCGAGGAAGGTCGGTGGCCATATTTCTTATGTGTTTTTGCCAGATCCCCCAAGGTGGAGTCCTGCAATATACCCACTGTGTTCCCATCCAATTGGTCAACGATATCGGACGTGATGTCTCTGGATTCTGTGTGTGAGGTCTGCTGGTCACCTTGTATGCTGACGTGTGCCAGATGATTCTTAACATCCCCATCGAGATGACCATGACGGGATAATTCTATACAAATGCGCCCTTATAGTGCGCTTCTGGTTAGTGCAAAAGTATACATCAGCTTCCAGCCACTCAGTCACGAAATTCACCAATATTTATCATCACTTCATTATGTGATTTATGAATCACTAAAGTCACTTTATTTCGTTTTTTCACTTTACGTATATGTACACCATACTGATACGTCATAATTAGACGATACCACTGTATGATATATCACTTTTAGCGCTTTTTAGTGCCTGCACCTTTTTTCTCACTTTATTAGTTCTTTAGTGTTGCATTTCTGTATTACATATACACTATATTGCCAAATGCATTGGGACACCCCTCCAAATCATTGGATTCAGGTGTCCATCACCATCATGGCCACAAGTGTATAAGATTAAGCACCTAGGCATGCAGACTCATTTTACAAACATTTGTGAAAGAATGGGTCACTCAGGAGCTCAGTGAATTCAAGTGTGGTACTGTGATTAGTTGCCACCTGTGCAATAAGTCCATCCATGAAATGTCCTTGCTACTAAATATTCCACTGTCAATTGTTAGTGGTATTATGACAAAGTGGAAGCAACTGGGAACCACGAAGTGGTAGGCCAGGTAAAATGACAGAGCGGGGTCAGAGCATGCTGAAGTGCACAGTGCGCAGAAAGCGTCAACTATGCAGAGTCAATAGCTAAAGACCTCCAAACTTCGTGTGGCCTTCATATTAGCACAACAGTGCATAGACAGCTTAATGGAATGGGTTTCCATGGCCGAGCAGCTGCATCCAAGCCTTACATCACCAAGTGCAATGCAATGGTGTGGGGTTGTTTTTCAGGGGTTAGGCTTGGCCCCTTAGTTTCCAGTGAAGAGACAATTTCATGCTCCCAACTTTGTGGGAACAGTTTGGGGATGGCCCCTTCCTGTTCCAACAGGATTGTGCACCAGTGCATAAAGCAAGGTCCACAAAGACAGGGATGAGCAAGTTTGGGGTGGAGGAAATTGGTCGGATACTGTGAGCCAGGCCTTCTCATTCGACATCAGTGCCTGACCTCACAAATACGCTTCTGGAAGAATAGGCAAACATTCCCATAGATACACTCCTAAACCTTGTGGACAGCCGTCCCAGAAGAGGTGAAGCTGTTATAGCTGCAAAGGGGGGGCCAACTCAATATTGAACCCTACGGACTAAGACTGGGATGCCATTAAAGTTCATGTGTGTGTAAAGGCAGACGTCCTAATACTTTTGACAATATAGTGTATGTATTATATCTGTGTCTTTAATGGTTTGCCTAGAGTTTGGCTTTAATATAGGTTTTTGTGCATATATGGCCTATTGTGTTTAATATTACATTTTAATCTATTTATAGCTTAATTTCCCATTGACTCTTACAGATACCAGAGCAACAGTAAATACATGATGACGTCCAATCCTGAGCTGATCAGATGGCAATCAGTACCACTTCGCTGTCATGCTGGATTATTAAACATGAATAGGAGTTGCAACCAAACAACCACATTCAACAAGGAAAAAGGTAAAAAGCAACAATACAGAACAACTGATTGGTCCTGTTTCAAGGATATGACTACAGTGAACTAAAATTGATTGGTAGATGCATTTAGGACATTACTACTTTTTTACTACTTTAAAGAACAAATCACATGCACAATCACAATGTATTAGATTCTTTCCCGGCCTCAATTGCCGGGAATCTCTCAATGGGGACCCGGAAGGGATATCATAACGTCACTTCCAGGTCAGGACCAGAAGGGAAGGGGAGCGGACGTCTCCTCCCTCCCATCTAGCCGCCGGCGTGAACCGGTCCCGGGCCCACAGATAAGCAAGCGGAGCCCGTGAGAAAGTGGGCGGAGGGAGCTTTACACTGGGGGGGTGTAACAGAGGCTGACACTACGAGCAAGCATTCGGGCGGCAGCGAATGCTTCCACCTGATAGGTGAGCCCTGCTGCTCGCAGGGCTGAAGGGAAGAAAAATAAACTACCCGCCTGGTGCCCGGAACTACATGTCCCAGGCATCAGGCGATAGGAATTCAACATCCCTGAGTTATAATTAATTTGCTTATAATTGTGCACAACCAATTTTGTGGTCCAGGAGCACATGCCAGGTAACACAGCAAGGTTCTTGGCCTCCACTGCAACACAGCAATGTGATCAACAGCTGAATGGACACTGAAGGAGCAGGAGCACATGAATGAGGTCAGCCATCTATTCACTGATGTTTCTTCCTCTCTCCATATCAGTATGAGTAGTACAGGGGATTACAAAATGTTACGATTCAGTAAGTTTTACTAGATCCACTCAAAAATATATAAAAAAATTTTAATGAATAAATAATGGTAATAATGTGTTTATATATCCCTGGATTACAAGACCTAATTGAGATTACATTTACTTACGTTGCCCCAACTTGGCGCAGTCTGAGGAAAGCGGGTGTGAACTGGTACCTGACAAATCTACCTGCGTTGGGATCCACATCCTTCTTGTCACCATGTTCTCGCTCTAAAAACAGTTTAAACAAAAAAACTAATTTATGTATTGGCAATATCTGAACACAAAGTAAATCAGAAGGAAGGGCAGCTCCAGCAAAATGGAAGGGGGTAAAAAAAAAAAAAAAAAAAAAGAAAAACAGAAAATTTCAAGCTGGAACCACACTTATACACTTTGGAAAATGTGTGTTGCATTGATATGACTAGAAACTCATCACACACACTGCAATGTACTTCGCATTACAAAGCGCACACATTAAACAAGTGACAATATGCAATTCAAGTGCACTGGCTCATACTGACAGACATTAACCACGAAAATCTAGCATGATATAAAACATTGTTTCAGACAGAAGTACATGATAGCCCTTCTTAGGACCTCCCTTCTGATGCATTTCACCCAAAGACAGGTTTTTAAAATGCAAGTTCACCTAATCACAAGAAATTAAATGTGAACACCACACATCCTCACTCTGATTCTGATTGGCCAAGGTGGTCACATGCCAGCACATGACCAATTAGAATTGCTCACTGATCCTGGAAGACTACCGCAGCTTTCATGCCACAGGACCCCTACACTGGCTGCTTCATCTACAGGGGTAAGTTCAACAGAACCTGGGAAGAAGGAGTGGATTGGAAGGGTGTACAGCATTAGTTCACCTTTTCATTTTTTTTGTGAAAAGGGGAATTCACACTTTAACCCTGTGCTTCTGTCAAAAACAATGCATTTTTACACCACACTGAATTTTCTTGGTGTATAGCCAGCTTTTTCTCCTGTGGTCATGTCTACATACAAGTGGCCCTGAGCATTTCTTTGAGATGTAAATAAGCTAGTTATGCCAACAGACCAAGATATTTGTTTCTCTGCATGAGGATGAAGCCTTTAGTTCCCCTCCTCACTCATTCTACATCAGCCATTCCCAACCAAATATTCATAGAATCCTCAGGTTCCTCCACAGGTTTGCTAGGGTTCCTTGAGCAGTGGCTAATTGACCTCCCATTTGATGATGCCTGCACAGTTCCAGGGCAAACACCACGTGGCAGAGCCAGCTGCATGACACCAATGATCTTTTTAGTTGCCTGTAATGGTGGCAGTCTTACCACTGACAAATATAAGGGACATTTTCCTAACTGACCCTCAATGAATTTGATAATGGAAACCATGATAGTCATGATGTCATCACAGAAGCCATGATAGTGTATTGGACTGTATCCAATGTTAAACTTGGGGATGTCAAAGAAGATTCATGCATTCCCCTTTACCAGTAAGTGCCATTAGTGAGCTCCAGCTTTGGAGCAAGTGGTGGCAGACAGGCAAGCACAGGAAACGTATCTATTCTGACAGCCGTTATGTGAATCTCTTACTTTGATACAGGTTCACTTACAATGGAATTTATTTCATTAAAAAGAATGTGAACAAAAGGCGAAAAAAAATAAAGTAAAAAAGGCAAAAAAAAACAAAACAAAAAACCACATACACATACCACAGCTGCAAACATACACATATGCACAACAAAAACACATACACATTGACTGTTTAAAAATATTTTTGGGCTCACTGTTTTCATATAATGCCAACTATAAGAAATAAGAATGCTTTGTGATTTTACTTTGACAGATTTGTTTTTTTATTGAGTTGGTGCAGTTTTTGTCTTTTATATTTAGGAGATATTTTCTTTATATGCACCAAGTAGTATTTTATGGAAAGTCCTTCGGGCAGATCTTGTATAAAAACATAAGTGACATTATAACCAAAATCTGCCAACTCAGCTTTTGTAAGCCAAGTTAGAGTTTTTAAAACAGCTGTGTATGGTTGGGTGGAAAGAGCTTTACTTTGCACTGAAAAAAAATTGAACTGATAGGACAGTATTGCCAATAAACCCAGCTTTCTGTGGGTCTGAAATCTCACCAGTTGTACTCAGGGCACTTTCTATATAGTCTGTTGATATGCAAATTTGCTAGAATACATTTACATTAGAAGGATTAAATCAAGTTAAAAATAGCAATAACAATCTTGTTAGGAAAGTTTGAAATGTGAAAGTCTTTAACATGATTAAATAGCAAGATTCTCTTTTGGTATACTGACAGACAAAAATGCATATCTAAAAAAACAACTCTGCTCTGCAAATCAGTACAATTATGTTATCTTGCTATTGAATTCAAAATGATCTCCAAACTCACTATTTCATCAATGTGTAGTCAGCCAGTAGGCCTGGTTCACACCTATACATTTTTAGCGTATTTTGCAGAAATGCACTACAGTCCATTTAACATGGTTTCCTAAGGGACATGTTCGCATCTATGCATTTTTCAGCCGCTGCATTTTTGGAAAGGGTTAGGGACTTTTTTTTTTAAACACAACAGTACATTTTTGGTTCAATAGACTTCAGCTGACATACTGCAGAAAAGAGTGTAGTGCATTTTTGATATTTTTGTTTATGCAGAATTTTTTTACTCTGCCCAATAACAAAAACCATCCCCCTTTTGAATTTGGTTTAGGTTTCTTTTTTTCTTGTTAAAATGCATAAAAAAAAGTGTGTGCAAAATGCACTGCAAAAACCGATCGAAAAACAAACTGTATAGGTGTGAACCAGGCCTAAGGAGTATTACAAAATAGATCCTGTGCATTATACTCTTTGGTCACTAGGTGGCACTGTTCTATTGCTTATAATATTCCTTAATAATGCTTAACTCAAGCATAGACCAATATACAACATGAGGTTCCTATAAAAGTCATCATTCAGTAATCTGGCATCAATAAACCAAAAATTGATTGGTTTCTGTAGGTTATCGCAAATGAAGGATGTTTAACCTTTTTTTTCCATTGATTTCCAGTATTGAAGCAGTCTATTTTTATGCCGATCAATTGTTTGCAACAAGCACATAGATAAGTTCTGATTGTGGTTGTTCCACGGTCTTTTCTTTTCAGTGATTCCAGATGTCCAAGCAATAGACAATCAAGCAGTTAGCATTGTCAGAATTGGGGCAGCAATGGCATCACCCATATTTCTTCCAATAGATGGCTTATGTCAGACACGTAATTGCAGTGAGCCATTGACAGCATCATCAAGTGGCTAATACAACTCTCTTTATTAAAAAATATGGAACAGCAAGCTTGCATCAAAATTAGAAAATCATAAAAATTTCACTGTAGGAAAAACGGCACAATAATTGCACTTACTAAAAATACACAACTTATTATCAAGCACGTATCATCTTGATAGTGTATCCACTTGAATAGAATTGCCAGGGTATGCTGGTCACCAGGATTATGTTCCAGTCACCATTATAATCAAGGCTCACAGGTGTAAAAAAAGATGGAGCCTAAAAATAGGAATGATCTGTCATAAATACTGGCATGATTATCTGTCAGGGTGAGGTTTAAGTAGGTTAAATGTATGTATGTAGATGTTCACATGTATCCAGGTCATGGTATACTAGTAGTAGTCATTTCAACTGGATGTGTTCTTTAATGTTGAAGACATTTCACTGTTCATCCAAGTAGCTGAAACCTCTTTTACAAACCACGTCCGGTTGAATGGGACTGATACTATGTAGGCCAAATGTAGGACTTGGCCATGTAAAGAATTCCAACTTCATTCACTGTAAAGGAGAGCCCACTACCCATGGATGGGGCATGTTGGTGGTGGCCGCACCGCCCAGCCTGTGAAAGCGATGGGATCACCAAGGTTACAGCCGGGAGATGACTGTAGTAGCAGCTACAAGCTAGTTTCTTCAGCCATGAGCTTGTGGGGAACCCTTCACTCATTGGGCGTACTAGGTATTTCCAAAGCGCTGAAGTGGTTAAGTAATTCTTCCCTGACTTTACCATATCCTCCTTTATTTAGGCCTCATATGTTACCCTTGCCAGGCACTGCATCTTACATTGGGAGGGTTTCAGCAACAGAAGCAGTGCTGTCAATCTAGAAAGCAGTGGGAAGGACTAAGTTGGCAGGGTGCCATTTGAAAAGCTATAGGTTTGTGAATCAGCAGCAATAATGCCAATACTCCCACTCCCTGCAACATTTTATTTTTATCCCATTGATGTGCAATCAAGCACAATCTACATGACAATGGCAACACTGTGCTGAATTTCAGATCAGTGTAGTATCATTGCCACACCATCACAGAAAGCTGCATTAGGCTTTGTTCACACAGGCGATGATGCCTGTATATTGTGAGTGAGCCATATTTTTGCAGTGTCTCTAATTTCCAGCAGCCCATTGAAGTTTTTTTAGTTTTTTCTTGTAACAGGCATGCAGGTGCAGATGAGTTGACCCGAATACACGGTCAGCATTTGGCACCACTCACCCACAGCTACACACGAGGATGAGTAGCTGTGTATTTGCTACCTCTGCATCCTAATAGATTTCAATAGGCTGCCTGCATACAGCACCTTGGACCAATCACTGAGTAGGCAGGCTTCATTCTGAATTTCGCACTTAAAAGAATGTGTTGAGACCTTTGAAGTCCAGAATAGGCAGGACATCTCAGTATGGCTTTGAATCTTAAGGTTCAAACAGAAGCATGAAATTTCTCCCCTTCCAATATGGGTGGGACTGCACCTGCAGACAGCAACCTTTCTAGAGCTGCAAAGAGACTTGCTCTTTTTTTGAGGCTCCAAAGACACATTTAAGTGTATAAAGCATGGATGAGGAGCTTTTTAAACCTCCCGACACCACACTGTGAACCCATTTGTCTACAATGTTCCAAGTCCATATAGACACAAAGAATAATAAGTGGCAACTCCTGCATGTACTGTCCAACAACATGATCCTTGTGTCTGGACTGAATGAGTACTTGCAGCGGCTGTGATGAGTGTATTACAGTCGCACCTAGCAAAGAGAAGGATACCACAAAGCAGGCTTCCACTCTTATCTGCAGTGTCCTTAAAAACCAGAACCTCATGCACTGGGACTATCGGGGCCTGGTTCAGGTATGAAGTGAGTCCATGGCTGGAGAACTTTTTTTTTTTTTTTTTTTTTTTTAGAGACCTCCTCGTCAATAGGGTACTGCTGCATA